TGGATAAGTTTAATGTAACTTTGAGCTAGCCAAGAGATAACGTCAACGGACAGTTGGTTTAGGGCAAGGGTCAGCAAACTGTGGCCCACTGGCCAAATCTAACGTACAATGACTCTTTGTAAATAAAGTTTTATTAGAACACAGCCACATTTATTCATTTATATATTGTCTAGGTCTGCTTTTGTGCTATTCAAGCTGAGTTGAGCAGTTGCAACAGAGACCTATGGCCTACAAAGCCTAAAATATTTATTCTCTAGCCTTTTACAAAAGTTTGCCAACCCTGGTTTAGAGGAAAGAAGAAATATATGAGTTACAGTTATAAGTCAGAATCTCCTTAATGTCCCTCCAGCCAACTCTCCTCACTGATTGTGTATGTCACACACACACACACACTCTACATGTGATTTAAGTTAACTCAATCAGAGTATAAGTCTCAAAAAATTTGCTGGAAAGTTATTTAATGCCTCTATGCCTTATTCATGTTCCTCTCTCCATCTGGAATTTTACTCACTTCCTATCTCTACTACATCTCCTTCTCATCCTTCTCCTGTTCCTCCTCCTCCTCCTTCTTTAAGTGTATTTATTTATTTTGGGGGGGGGGGTGGAGACAGAGAGAGAATCAGCACAGGAGGGGCAGAGAAAGGGAAGAACAAAAGATCCGAAGCAGGCTCCATGCTGACAGCAGAGAGCCCAAAGCAGGGCTCAGACTTATGAACCATCAGATCATGACCTGAGCCAAAGTTGGATGCTTAACCCACTGAGCCCCCCCGGCACCCCCTAACTTCTTCTTTCAAGATATAACTTTGGTGGCACATCCAGGAAGCCCTCCCTGTATCCTCATGTCTGATTAAGAACATCTCCTCTGTGCTCCCCCCGTTTCTTGCACCTTTCTCTCTTAATAGCAGATTCTAAAATTATCTCTTGACTTCTCTGTCTTCTCCAATAGACCTTGAGCTCCTCAGAACAGAACCTAGCACATTGTGGATGCTCAGGAATATTCAACTGAACTAAACCAACACAGTTTCATTTTTATGAAACAAAAATTCTAGCAAAACAACATAAAAACTACAAGTTCTAGGCAGGTTTTGGTTACTGAATTAAAGAAAGTACACCAATAATAAATCTACCTACCAACTGATTTCTTGTTACTACATATTAACTCCATATTCATTAGCATGATTTTACCACAAAGTTATCAATATGTAAAGTCACTTTACTGAAATCTAAAAATTGGATAAGTGGGTCTTAAATGTATAGAGAAAAGTAAGATCCATGGATGAACTAAACTAATGTACATGTCTCTCCCTTGGCGGGAGAAGGGATAATCCCTGGAAGAAAGTATAAGGAAGGCTTCTGGAGTACCAGTAACATTTTAAATCCTGATCTAGGTGCTGGTTATCCAGGTATGTTTAGTTTCTAAAAATTCATTAAGCTATACAATTATGTTATGTGTGTATTGCTCTATATATATTACACCAAAATTGAAAGTATGTTACAATCAATAGATGTAAAATAATTTGTCTACTTCACTCAAAAAATAAAATAAAATAAAATAAAATAAAATAAAATAAAATAAAATAGAATTATTAATCCACTGTTACATTCATTCAGAAACTTTCATCCTAAGCCTAATATGTTTTGGGATATTTATATTTTCTCCAAGTAAAAAAGCATTCTTGCCAAGTCAAAGTAGCCAACAATAGAAATACTCATAACAATTAACAAATTTTTTTAGTCTGGGAGGAAAACAAGAATATCACATTTAAACATATGTAATTTTATGCAAGGAAGGAAAGAAAAGAATATGACAAAACAAAACTCCAAGTTTTGCACACTCAATTTCCCAGAATACAAAGCTGTCAACATTTGTTTCATAAAAGGACACACTTAAGGGGTGCCTGGGTGGCTCAGTCAATAAACCGTCCAACTTTGGCTCAGGTTGTGATCTCATGGTTCATGGGTTCAAGCCCCGCATCAGGCTCTGTGCTGACAGCTAGCTCAGAGCCTGGAGCCTGCTTTGGATTCTGTATCTCCCTCTGTCTCACCCTCCCCTGCTCACGCTGTCTCTCTCTCTCTCTCTCACTCAGAAATAAAGAAAACATTTTTTTAAAAAAGGACACACTTAAATGGAGAAAAGTGGAAGAACCCTAGGCTGCCTAAAACTATTGTTTCCATGTACTTGACAACTGATATAATGGGACCATGTTTATACCCTGGAGAATTCAAACAAGCTAATCATTTAATGGCTTCTATGCCTTTTCTTTTTTTATTTTTTTTAATGTTTTTTTATTTCTGAGAGAGAGACAGCATGAGCAGGGGAGGGTCAGAGAAAGCGGGAGATACAGAATCTGAAACAGGCTGCAGGCTCTGAGCTGGCTGTCAGCACAGAGCCTGACGGGGGGCTCGAAACCACGGACTGTGAGATCATGACCTGAGCCGAAGTAGTCAGACGCTTAATCAACTGAGCCACCCAGGCGCCCCTAATGGCTCCTATTTCTGAAGAGGAAAAGCATAAACACTCGTGTGAAACCGAAGTCTGTTGCTTAACAGATTCAAAAAATGGGTGAACTTTGAAAACATGCTAAGTGAAAGAAACTAGCCACAAAGGAACACATATTGTACGATTCCATTTATGTGAAATGTCCAGAAATCATAGCAATAGAACGTAGATTGATGTCTGCACCAGGGCAGGGGGTTGGGGAGGAATGGGGAGTGATTTAATGCATATGGAGTTTCTCTTTGGGGTGATGAAAATATTCTAAAATTGGTGGTGATTACAAGTTTGTGAACATACTAAAAAACACTCAGTTGAACCTTTTAAATCGGTAAATTGTATGGCATGTGAATTCTATCTCAATAAAGCTATTTTTTAACATATTTATTTGAGAGAGAGCATGAGAGAGAGCGTGGAAGGGGCAGAGAGAAGGAGAGAAGAAGAATCCCAAGCGGGCTCCATGGGGATCCCCCACATGGGGGCTCAAACCTACTAACCAACAGTTCATGGCCTGAGCCCAAGTTGGCTATTTAACCAACTGAGCCTCCCAGGTGTCCCTAAAAACATAAGACAGGGGCACCTGGGTGGCTCGGTTGGTTAAGCATCTGACTCTTGGTTTTGGCTCAGGTCATGGTCCCAGGGCTCATGGGTTCCAGAGGCTCTGGGTTGACAGGGTGGAGCCTGCTTGGGATTCTCTCTCTCTGTCTCTCTTTCCATCCCCTGCTTACACCCCCTCTCTCATTCTCTCTCTCAAAAATAAATGAATAAACATTTTTTTGAAAGAATAAAATAAAATAGGGATGCCTGGGTGGCTCAGTCAGTTAAGCATCCGACTTCAGGTCCAACTTCAGCTTGGGTCATGATCTCATAGTTCGTGGGCTGGAGCCCCGCATCAGGCTCTGTGCTGACAGCTCAGAGCCTGGAGCCTGCTTCAGATTCTGTGTCTCCCTCTCTCTCTGTCCCTCCCCCACTCACTTCCTGTCTCTGTCTCTCAAAACCAAAAGTTAAAAAATTTTTAATAAAATAAAAGACAAGGATAAATCAATTCATGTGCATATGGGTCATAAACTTTTAAGTTTGAAATATTTGGTCTGCTATATTTGATGGATGCTTCTCTATGTGAAATGACATCAAGTTTATTAAACCACCCATCATTTCTAGATTTTTTTTCCTCAATAGGACAAGTTTTGAATACTGGAGGGGGGGGCGAGAGGAAACTGGGATTGTTTGGAATGACAGTAGGCTCATCTAAATATTATATTGCAAAATAATTTAGCTGAAAAACTTGGCACTCGTGATGACAGAGAGCTGGGAGGGATCAGGGAGTGTGCTGGCAACTTGGATATTAGTCATCAAATAAATAAAAACTTCCTGGCCTTACATGCTAAGATTTAGAACTGATGTATTTATGTTAAAGCCTCCCCTTCAGAAATTCCCTCTTAACCACAGGGAAATTTTATGAAATTAACAATTCACTCTGATCTATTAACATATGATTTCCTGAGAAGGCACACACGCACAAATGGAGGTAATAATGGCACCCTAAAATGATGGTAATTAGGTTGGACTGACATTTATGCAGTTCGAAAATTGCACACAAGCAAAATTTATCCAAATCCTCAGCATATGCCACAGTGTGAATACTGTACTGCTCATACTGGTTGATTAACATTAAAAAAAAATTTTTTTTTACATTTTATTTATTTTTGAGAGACAGAGCATAAGTGAGGGAGACGCAGAGAGAGAGGAGGAGACACAGAATCCGAAGCAGGCTCCAGGCTCTGAGCTGTCAGCACAGCGCTCAATGCGGGGCTTGGACCCACAAACCGCGAGATCATGACCTGAGCAGAAGTCGGAGGCCTAATCAACTGAGCCACCCAGGGGCCCTAGATAGATTAAAATGTTTACAGAAATGATATGCCCTTTCTTGTATTTTAAAAATGTTACTAAAATGCTACAGCAGTTGGCTCCCCTCAACAAAATGCGACTCTATTGTAACGAAATCACGGCACACTCCTGTGACTAATAAACATTGGACTTCCTAGTCCCTGACAATCACCTACAAAAGTAAACGTGCCGACAGTCATGATTTCCTTTCCCCAAATTGCTGAGACAAACTGCTGAGCGCTAGGACTGCCCCATCCCAGTCAGGACACATAGCCCACAAAACCACAAGAGGGTCAACCGCTGGTAACTCATCACAAGATAACACGGGTGGCCCCAAAGCCAGAGCCCTCCGCGGTTCTAACAAGTGCCAACACCACAATACAAAGCAACAGTCATGCACGGCGGTCGTCGCCCCCAGAGCTCAGGAAAGCACTGGCCGGCTGCCCGGTGGGTGGCGGAAAGCAGAAGAGAACAGCCTCCCCACACCCTCACTCTGCCGGCATCGCTAGAAGCAGCGTGGGGGCTTTCCTGAGACGCCCCCCCCCACCGGAACCGGAAAACCGACCATCTTCCCTAACCCCCCCGGCCGGAAGTTGGGGGGACCAGCCGGCGCACTCACCCTGGAAGAGCAGGACTCCCAGCAGTGGGAACAGAGCGCAGCCACGGCCTCCAGCCGCTCCGCTCTGCTGCATCCCGACAGCTCTCTGGATGCTTGCACACCTTGTTTACAGCTCCCGGTAACCACACAGGTGATACCGGAAGTGACGTCAGGGAGGGAGGCCGCGAGAACGCTTAAGACGGCGATTCGAGGTTGCCATAGGAACGTGGCATCTCTCCAGGGCCACACCTGAAGCTTGCTCCGACAGGTGATTCTTTTGAGTTTCGAGTAAGAATTAATTACTCCCTGTTGCTTGACAATTAAGTAACCCACAGACTTCGGAAAACTTAGAATTTATTTGTATGGAATTCTGCAGTACTAAATAGCCTTGATGCTCCGAGTCTCTTCCAGAAGTGATTTTTTTTTTACTTCCTACAGATTATTGGTACTCTCAATAGTACCTCTCAAAAGAGAGAAACCTCTCAAAAGAGGTTTCTATATTTTTAACTAGAAGAGATCTAGGAGATTATACAGCATCAGTAAATAAATATGTATTAGGCCTTCATGATGAATGTGTATCTCAAGTGTCTTTGGTTCGTGGTGTTTTGTGTGTTACTGTACAGCAGCCAGCTCAGTACCTACGTAATTTGGGTGTTTATTATACTGCCCTTCAGTGGCAATGATGAAATCAGTGTAACATGTAATAGAGGGGGAAAGGAACTGGATTTGTGTATCTCTTGGAGAGAAAAGTGAGAAAGTAATGTTTTCGCAGCGCTGGAAGTGATGAGATGGTGTCCCATTCTTCCAACAGAGGTGGAATGATGGTACCCTGCGTCGATTGTCGGCCAGCCTATTCTCCTGGAATCTGCGTGTATTTAATGAAATCAAGAGGAGAACAAAAGTCCATGCCTCAGCTTTTGGGAAAGTTTAGTAACTTCACTTTTCAGGGGCGCCTGGGTGGCTCAGTCAGTTAAGCGTCTGACTTCGACTCAGGTCATGATCTCATGGTTGGTGGGCTCGAGCCCCACCATCCGGCTCTGTGCTGACTGCCAGCTCACAGCCTGGAGCCTGTTTCAGATTCTGTATCTCCCTCTCTCTCTGACCCTCCCCTGCTCGCGCTGTCTCTCTCTCTCTCTCTCAGAAATAAATAAAACATTAAAAAAATTTAATAACTTTTCATTTTTCAGTTCACACTCTGTCACTAGATGTGAAAGTTAGTGGTTTTCTCTATTAAGAACCTGATGTAAGAGTACCAAACAGGATATGATACTCTTCCTAAGAAAGAGTACCCAAACCAAGTAGTTTGTTGTGCCCAATTCCCAGTTATCCAAAACAATGTATCCAGTTCTTTATCCAGTATAAACTAATATTCTTTATTAAGTATAAACATATTTATCCATTATTGACTTCCAGGCTCTTTCTAAGAAAATTTCTCAGTAAAGATAAAATACATAACCATGTGTTTTTGAGTACTTGCTATGTAAAACTTTTAGACTTGTATGTAAGCAAAGTATACAATTGATAATTCTTTATTACTAAAGGTTATTTACAAATGTGTTTAGGGCGCCATAAAAAATAAATTACAGTACAGAAGTTCTCCTTAGGAAAAAGACACTGACCAATGGGGTCATAATAACCCCTGAATATTTAGCCAAGACATGAGCTACAAATTTTGCTGGAAAGACTTTCCATGAGGTTACTTCTTCATTACACTTATGGAACATCATTCAGGCCATCTGTTTGAAAAAATATTGTTATTTTCAAAGGTAGAATTATGGAGAAAAATAAAAAATGTGTTTTAAAAGTAATAGACCTTAAATCTAACTTTTAGTTTTGGGGCGCCTGGGTGGCTCAGTCAGTTAAGCAACTGACTCCAGCTCAAGTCACGATCTCATGGTTCATGAGTTCAGGCCCCACATCAGGCTCTGCACTGAAAGCACAGAGCCTGCTTGAGATCCTCTGTGTCCCCTCTCTCTCTGCCCCTCCTCTGCTAGCTCACACTGTCTCTCTCAAAAAAAAATAATAATAATAATAACAACAAATATATTTAATGTAACTTTTAGTTTCCAAATTGGGTGTTAAAATTTTACTTTTTTAGTGTAAAAGGCAAAATGAGATAGGTATGGAATGAATTCAGAATCAAGGTTCACATGTAAATTGCACCAATTTTTCTAAAAACACGAGAAAAAATATCCAAAGTTCATCGTTAAATACAGATAACCTATTTGAACATTCCAGTTTGCTAAAAGAAAGACAATCTTGGGCTCAGCCAGTGAAAACTAAAATTATTAGCCTATAAAGATGGGGCGGGAGTAGGGGCAACTAAACTTTCAGATGTTTCCTACTTTCGAATAAATGCTGCTCTAACTTAAGTTTGGAAAGACACTGGGCGGCTAAACACTTTTGAAAAAGCGCTTTTCTTTCCACAGCCTACTTGTAAACTTTGCTGTCTGTTCTAGTGTAAGGAGAGACAGGAAAAGTCAGAAATTTCTTATTATTAGTTTTGGTGTTTCTTTGCCCATACCAGATTCTCCCTCCCACAAAATAAACAAATTAAAGCAAAAATAAAACAAGATAAAGAAAAGGAAAGGAAAGGAAAGGAAAGGAAAAAAAAATAAATAATCTCATCCAGTTCTCAGAGCTTTATATAACACTGTACAAAATTATCATCATTTAGGGTTGATATTTTCACCAGCCCTAAAGCTTTACAGTCATAATATACTATTTCGGCATCCTCTGTGTAACTGCTTAATGATTCCAGTCCCCAAACGAAGCATAGATTTTGCTCTGTTGTTATAACTGACCACTAAGCCAAACGGCAGTAACTGCTCAGGGAAGACTTGCTTCGTCGGTTGTTTTTTCAGACCACAAGGAAAAAAGGTGACAAGCGATTCCTCCTGAGGTGGCATTTGTCAATCCATAAGCATTTATGCAAACTCTTCTAGCTACTTTGTGATTCAGATTGGTGCTAATTATAAATGTTGGATCAACAAAAACAAACAATCATCTAGGATACCGAAAGCAGTTCAATAAAACCAAGATGGGTCCCATACTTAAGGAGAGCCATAAAAATCAGGCTGTTCTTCAACAGTTTGGATTGAGGATTTCCTGTTAATCAATCAAAAACAGCTGGGAGAATTAGATCACCTTTTAATTGGGAGTGAGAAGGAAACAGTAAACACATTAACTTCCGTAGGAAGAGTACCGCCCAAGGGCGCCTGGGTGGCTCTGTCAGTTAAGCGTCCGACATCAGCTCAGGTCATGATCTTACGGTTCATGGGTTCGAGCCCCATGTCGGGCTCTGTGCTGACAGGTAGCTCAGAGCCTGGAGCCTGCTTTGGATTCTTGGTCTCCCTCTCTCTCTGACCCTCCTCTGCTCATGCTGCCTTTCTCTCTCTCTCAGAAATAAATAAAACATTTAAAAAAATGCTTTTTTAAAAAGAGTGCTGTCCTAAAGAAACGAATACAGTAAAGAAAATGGCACAACAGACAAGATGGCTTTCATCTCACCTGATACCAATGGGTGTGCATACAATTAGTAATCCACAAGGAATGTTTAAGGGCAAAAATGTAGCTTCTCGGTATAAAAAGCTCATGAGCATTTGAAAAATATTTGCGCTCTGAAATTAAATAAAACCTTAGGAACGGACTGTGTGGGAGTCTCCCGGTGTCTGCTCAAGACAGCCCTGGGCCTAGGCTGGCTCCAGAGAGGTGCTGCTTCTGGGTGATTAAGTACTGCAGGGCTGGTCAGAAGGCAGGTCACAACTGGTAAAGCCAAAGAAAAGCTCCCATTAACTTCAGCGTATCCTAGGGTTCTCGTTCCTGGGGATCTTCAGCTTCCTGAAATACAAAAGTTTAAATGGATAATTTAGGTGGGAAGAGCGCAGAGAGAGACTTGGAATTCTGAATTACATAGATATCATCGGATGTGCTCTCCACTGTGAAAGAAAATATTCTTAAACGTACTTGTTCTCCTTCTAATTCAACTTTATAGAAGATGTTTCTCGATCCTTTCTACATAGTTCTCAGTGTCCTTAATTCATAGGCTCTGCCTTGCATGGATGATCCACAGCTCACTCACACACATGCATGTCTTCCTCTCTCTCTCTCTCTCTCTCTTTCTCTCCCCCTACCCCCAACTCTTTTATTATAAAAAAAAATCAACCATACAGAAAAGTAGAAAAGACAGTGTATAGAATTCACCCATTGCCCAATTTTAAAGCATTTTTTGCTTTATTTTCCATATATTTATTTGGTCTTTTATTATATATAAATAAATACATATATAAATTTGTATATAATAAATGTATATTATATATAAATATATATTTAAAATAGGAACATTTTCCTCTATTACCACAATACCTTTATTATACCTAATGAAAACTAACATTAATTCCCTAATATTATCCATATTCAAATTTTCATATTCAAGACTCCCAATTGTCCCCCTCCAAATCTTTTTACAACTACTTTGTTCAATCCAGTCAGGATACCCTGTCACATTGCACTGACTGTGTGAGCTTCTTAAAATTTCTTTTCATCTCAGGTTGCCTGGGTGGCTCTGTTGGTTAAGCATCTGTCTTTGGGTCAGGTCATGATCTCACAGCTCATGGGTTTGAGCCTCATATTGGGCTCTGTGCTGTTAGTGCAGAGCCTGCTTGGGATTTTCTCTCTCTTCCTCTCTCTCTCTCTGTCCCTCTCTCACTTGTTCTCTCTCTCAAAATAAATAAACTTTTTAAAAAGTTTCTTTTCATCTCTATCTTCATTTTCCATGACTCTGACTTGTTAGAGAATCTGCTTGGTTTGGGGGGGGGGGGGCGGTTAAATGTTTATTTTTGAGAGAGAAACAGAGTGGAAATGGGGAAGAGGCAGAGAGAAGGGGAGACACAGAATCCGAAGCAGGCTCCAGGCTCTGAGCTGTCTGCACAGAGCCCAATGTGGGGCTCAAACTCATGAACTGTGAGATCATGACCTGAGCCAAAGTCAGACTTTTTAACTGACTGAGCCACCCAGCGCCCCACGAATCAATCCTCTTGGTTTTTAAAAGAAAATAGCCCTTGGTAAAATCTTCCTTTCATACCAAATTTGTTCTTCTGCATTTACAATAGAATCATTTTTCTCCAAACTCTATTTTATAAGTCCTCAAGCTCTTTCACTGAAGCTTTAGGCTACAAAAATATGACTCTTTTTGCAAATAATAATAGTGGGCCTACTTCAGAGAATAGAAAAAAATTCTAATATGAAAAATAAGTCATCCTACTTTTTAAGCATAAGCCTGAAAACTGGTAAAATAAAATTACACACTACTACGATTGGATTCATCCTCCTAATAATGGGATGAAAGCAGCTGAAATCAATTCCAAATAGTATAAAGGTTCTCCTGTTAAAATGTCAGGCATATCAAGGCTCTTGGGTGGTTCAGTGGGTCAAGCACCCGACTTTGGCTCAGGTCATAATCTCACGGTTCATAAGTTCAAGCCGACCTAACAGCTTGCAGCCTGGAGCCTGAAGCCTGCTTCAGATGCTGTGTCTCCCTCTCTCTCTCTCTGCCCCTTCCCCGCTCATGCTCTGTCTCTTTCTGTCTCTCAAAAATAAATACATGTTAAATTTTTAATAGATAAAAAATAAATATGTATTTACATGTTGAAAGATAATTTATTATTCTTGGTCATGGTAAATATAACCACAAAGCCTAAGATAATCTTAGAATTTTCCATCTTCAACAACAGGAGGGTCACACTGAAGGGAAAAGCCATCCATAACACTAATAGAAGACTTTCATCTCCCTGACCCAGCTCCTCTAATTTCATACAGAAAACACCTACCAGTCCAAAAATCTGGGAGGTTCCCATTAGAGATGGGCCAGACAAGAAAGCTAAGGAAAGAAACCAACTCATTTATGCAACTTACCATCTAAGAATGTCAGTCTGTGTCTTCTAAATAAACAGAGACCTTTTTCTCTTGGTTGAGCCCTTCCTCTTCTTTTCTGTAACAAAGAAGCAGAAACCAATGTCAAGAAGCAAAAGAGGCAAAAAAAAAAAAAAAAGCAACTGAAGGCAAATCTTACAAAGCTTCCGTTGATGTACTTTCTCCCATATTTTGGGTAGAATTACATGCCTCTGGGACTAGAGCCAAGCTTACAGAGAGCTAAACCACTAAGGCCAAATATCTAATAATACACATGATTCCCCATGACCCTGGATATCTGAACCTCTAAAGGTTTCAGAATATTTTTGGAGGGGAATATAATTTGGGAACTCAAATAAACCTTAGTTTATCGTGGGCATCCTGCCTCTAATTCCATTCCTTATCCAGAAAAGACAAAGTTTTATGTTGACCTAGAAGTCATCTTTACTGCTTATATTCTATTCAAACCCTAACCTCAGAGTGGAGCTCACTGGGCTTCTTAAAATCATTTCTATTTAATCCAGTAAATATTTCTCGAGGAAAAGAAACAAATGGTTTTGGGACAACTGAAATACCGCAACTTCAAAAGAATGAATTTGGACTCCCACTTCACCCCACGTACAAAAATTAACTCAACATGTAGCAAAGACCTATACTGTAAGAGTTAAAACTGTAAAGCTCTTAGAAGAAAACACAAGTATAAACCTTCACGACCTTGGACTAGGCAATGGATTCTTTTCTTTTTTAATGTTTATTTTTATTTTTTGAGAGAGAGAGAGAGACACAGAGTGCGAGTGGGGGAGGGACAGAGAGAGAACGAGACACAGAATCCGAAGCAGGCTCCAGGCTCTGAGCTGTCAGCACAGAGCCCGACATGGGGCTGGAACTCATAAGCAGTGAGATCATGACCTGAGCCTAAGTCATACACTTAACGCTTAATCCAGGCGTCCCTGTAATGGATTCTTAGACATGACACCAATAGCAGAAGCAACACAAGAAAAAAATAGATAAATTATACTTCATCAAAACTAAAAAGTCCTCTGCTTCAAAGGACATGAAGCAGAAAGTGAAAGGGCAACCCACAAAAGACAAATAACTCAATTTTTAAATGGGTAAGATATTTGAATAGAGAGATCGCCAATTAAGATATACAAATGGCCAATAAACACATGGCAAGATGCTCAACATCATTAGTCATTAGGAAAATGCAAATCCAAACCTCAGTGGGATAACCCTCCAACACCCACTAGGTTTGGCTATCATCAAAAGGTCAAACAATAACAAGGGTTGTCAAGGATATGGACAAATTGGACCATGGCTGGTGGGAGTATACAATGGTATAACTGTGTTGTAAAAAACAATCTGGCAATTCTTCAAAAAGGTAAACAGAGTAACTGTTCCAACAATTCCACTCCTAGGTATATACCCAAGAAAACTGAAAACAGATACCTACACAACCATTTATAAATAAATGTTCATAACAGCATTAGTCGTGTTGGCCAAAGAGTGGTGAAAATCTAAATGTCCATCAAATGACTGGATAGCAAAATGTGGTATATACATGCAATGGAATATTACACAGCCATAAAAAGGAATGAAGTGCTATACGTGGATGAACTTTGAAAATATTATACTAAGTCATAAAAGGCCGCATTGTAGGATTATCCAGTTATATGAAATGCCCAGAATAGATATAGGAATGCTGGCCATATTGACTCCATCTTTGACCTCCCATCTTGATGTCTGCTTGATGACCTCTTCGGGGATACATGTTCTAGAATAATGTATAAGATGTAAAAGATTAATGTATAAACTCTAGGCTCACATTACAAAACCAGAATGCCCAGGGAATCTGTTCTGGATTTCAATGGGCCCATTAAGATACCCGTGCAGATAACATAGTTTTCTGCAAATGCACAGAGGATGCCATCTGGTCTATTAAACGTTAGCCATCGATCACTGTATGGAAACACTCCCCTGTGCGTCCAGCTCCTTTAAAACCAGTAAGATACTAACATGCAGGGTTTCTGAGGAGACTGGCTGTGCAGCCGTTCTGATGGTGGCCCTCCTGATCCTCCCTGGCAGTGAGTCACTCAACATAAAACTCTGTATTCTGTAGCTTTTTCCATTTCAAAGTGCCTTCTCAGTTTGGGGGGCACTTCGCGTTCTCCTTGCCTTTGAACAAGAGGCAAATCCACAGAGACAGAAAGCAGATCAGTAGTTATCAGGGGCAGGGGGAGTGGAAAACAGTGATGGCTGAAAGACATGGAGTTTCTTCGGGGGTGACTAAAATTCTGCAATTAGGTGATGACGGTTAAACAGCTTTGTGAACAGTAAAGAGATGAATTTTTATGATAGATCAATTTCATCTCAAAAAATACCTATTTTTTGAGCACCTTATCTCAGCATAGCTGACTTTCATAGGCACTGATCATGCTGCCTGCCCAGCAGTTTTTACAAATGTGCACTTTACATTAAAAAGTAAGGAATATCCTAGGGGCGCCTGGGTGGCTCAGTCGGTTAAGCATCCAACTTTGGCTCAGGTCACGATCTCATGGTTCATGAGTTTGAGCCCAGTGCCAGGCTCTGTGCTGACAGCTCAGAGCCTGGAGTCTGCTTCGGACTCTGTGTCTCCCTCTCTCTCTGCCCCTCCCTTGCTTGTGCTCTGTCTCTCAAAAATGAATAAATGTTAGAAGAATTTTTTTTAAAAAGTGCAGAATATCCTAGAAAAGCTTTACATAAGCAGATTTTGAGACAATCAATCCTCCATAATAAGGAAAGCCTGTCATGAAATCCTCTATAAAATTAAGAAAGCTTTTGTAATGGTTCCAGATCACACCCTAATTTATCCATCCTGTGAATGAGAATTCTTTTATAAGATTTACTCGGAGGGAAGAACATCTGTTCAACAATCATTTCGCCGCAGTGTTAAATGCGTGACATTTAACAGTGTTAAATGCGTGACATTAAAAAGTGACAAAGAGTCACGATAGAAGAGTGTCAGGAGACTGCCCGGAACTGCCCGGCCTTACGATTTTATCTCCACCACTTTATGCGCTCTTTCAGCCCATCGCTTTTTCCGGAAGTGCTGGACCAGGACAACCACGATCACTATTATGACCATCAGCGCACAGGCAGAGCCAATGGCCAGAGCCAGGAAGTAGATCTCAGAGAAGCGCACTGGAAAGACAAAAAGAGTGTGTCATGATTCTAAAAAGTTAGACTACGATGAAATCTAAAGATATAAGAAGGATGTATTTTCATCATTAAATGGAATTTTTCTTTCTCCTACCGTATGCCCTTGTGAACTCTAGTGGCAATAAGCTATGCAGGCTACTTTAATGGTTCTCAGACTAGGGTCCCGGGAGTAACAGCAGCACTCGGCACAACTTTGAAACGCAGATCATCAGGCGCCACCTCAAACCTCCAGAATCGTAGGTGGGGCCCAGCAATCTGTTTGAACACGTCCTCCAGGTGATTCTGATGCTAAAATTCTGAGAACGACTGAGCCAGCGGAACCACCTAGTGGGGTAAGGTTATTGCTGACCCAACCAAACCCAGCGCCCAAACTGTTTCTCCTAGATTCCCTCTCACCTCTGGCATTCATCCAGTCATTTATTCAGATTTATTAAGGCTCTACTATGTTCAGACATCACGCTGGAAATACAGAGCCAAAAAAGATGTTACCTTCAAGGAACTCAAGCCCACTGGGAAGATAGGCAAGTAAATCAGTAACTATAGTCCAGTAGATAAAATGATGCAAGAGGGAAAGGTCCCTAGCCCAGGCAGAATCTGTGAAGCCTGGGTCTCCTGCCTTTTAGTTTGATTTCTTTCTCTTTTTTTTTAATGTTTATTTAGTTTTAAGAGAGAGAGAGAGACAGAGTGCAAGGAGAGGAGGGGCAGAGAGAAAGGGAGACAAAGAACCCAAAGCAGGTTGCAGGCGGTGAGCTGTCAGCACAGAGCCCGACCTGGGGCTCAAACTCATGACTTGAGCTGACGTCAGACACTTAACCGACTGAGCCACCCAGGTACCCCTGATTTCTGATTAAAACTTCAATAAACTCCCAGAGCCAGAGAACACTTTAGAAAATGTCTAGCCCAGAGGTTCCCAGCGTGGAGTCTGTGAAAGAGGATGGGGGAGAGCACAGGGCCACATGCCCACAAATTCCGTGTCATATTGTGTGTACGCGTACATTTTTGTGGTGGGCAGAGCCACGGCTTTCGTTAGAAGTCTCAGGGTAGTGACCACAATACATTCAAGAGCCTGTGTTTCTATCTAACCTGTTCCTTCAGGTTAGACACAGATGAATTCAGAAAACTGAGGTCCAAAGACATTCCATTACTTCTTTTGGTATCCAAATGACTTCTCCAAGGTCACACAGCTCCATTGATGGAGCCCTGAAGGATGATACTAGGAATGAAAGGAGGAAATTCTACTACTTCGCAGGTAGTAATATCATGTGTTCATTAAGAACACCCACCTGAGACAGCTGAGTTAAAATACCAGCTCTACCATTTACTAGATGTGTGATTTAGGGTAATTAACTTCTCTGAGCCTCAGTTTCCTCAATGTATCAAACAGAGACAACAATATCCATTTCTTGAGTTCTTATTTAAAAAAAAAATTTTGTATAAATTGTCCCACGCTGAGCTCGCACGTAATAAACACTCACTGTATGGTAGCTATTACAATTTTCAGTGCAAAAAAGAATTTTTTTGATGCAATTCACAGTTTGGGGAATTTTTACATTTATTGTCTCATTTTGTCTTCACCACAAGCCTCGCTATATTATTCTCACTAAGGAAAGGGAAAAAAAAGATTTATTGCCAACTGGTAAATGATAGCAGTGATTCAAGCCCAGATTTACAGCTCTTGAGTTTTATAGTCTTATCTGCATAGCTTCCGGGTTTTCCTTCATAGGATTGCAAGCACTACAATGCATTAGTTTAGAGTACAATTTTGGAGTCAAAGATGCTTGGGTTTGAGTTCCAAATGATTCCATTTGGATTCCATTGGAATGATTCCATTCCATCAGTTCCATGGATTTGGACAAGGGACTTAACTTCTAGGAGCCTCAACTTCCTCATTAGGAAAATGGGGGTGGGGGGCACGAAAAGCACAAGAAACTGATGTGATAGATGAAGATTAAATAATATATGCGAGGCCCCTGATGCATGGGAGGTACTCAATATATGATGGCCACCACTACGGGCATCTGCAGCCTAGGGTGGAGGAATTAAGTGAGATAGTACGGGTCAAGCACAGGACAGTGCCTGACGCAGAGGAGGTACTCAGTAAGTATCCCGTGAATAAATGAGTGAATGAACAGATCCATTGTTAGCCTTTTATCAGAGACTTGCTTCCTCTCCCTTTTACAATCTCAGTGCCACTTCTGTAACAGATTCCGCGGTCTGTTTGCTTAACTCTGTTTCTTTCCACAGCCAAACAAAGCCTTTCTCTTTTCACTCCAGGACTCTTCAGTCTCCCTGTGTAGATTCCAGACCCGAAGGGCTAGCCCTTCTCCCTACTCTTTCAGCCGTCACAAAAGACTACCCCTCTCTTTTCTATAAACTCTCAAGCTTCCCAGAACCCTTTCCCCCTTACCAGTGTGCACGACGCTCAGCCGAATCTCCCCGATCAGCCCATCAACGTCAGGTGGGTTCTTCACCTGACAGGTGTATGTCCCGTTGTCGTCAAACTGCAGCTTCCAGAGGATGATGGAGGCATCGTACCGCTCAGGGTTTCCGTCCCAGACCACCCGATCCTTGAAACGTCCACTCATGGGTTTGAAGGGGTCCACATGGTAGTAGAATACCTACAAGGGAGAAGCGGCCAAAAGTCTTATTATTCAATGCCCGGGCACGGAGGCTGAGAAAGGGGAGGCAGCCTCACTGCCCCGACCGCAGCTCTCTTCCAAGAACCTCTTGCTTTCCCCTTGACGGACCTCTCAGCTCTGCCTGTCTCTGTCCCAAGAATTGCTTCTCACTTTTACCCTGTGCTTGCTGCTGAGAAACACACAGGAAGGGCAAGGAGAAATGGATCGGCTGATCTTCCCAACCAGGGGTCCCCGGGCCAATGACAATAATCTACTTACAAACTGCTCAGGGCCCCCATCTCGAGGACGGAAGTTCCAGGTCACTGTTAGAGCATCACCCACGGGGGCAAAGCTGGAGAAAGTGCATTTTAGCCGGACGTCTGTCCCGTTGACAGCCTCCAGCACTTGCGAGGTGTAAATTTCCACAGCCGCTATAGGCCAAAGGGCTACCACGGAGAAGAGGAGAAAGGAAGATGCATAGTAAGAGAATTTCTGTCGACACCGCCAAAATAAATGTCTGAACGAGACATGTCACCAAGGTCAATGCCCCAGCTCTCAGACTTCATCCTGGGTCTGCATGCTCCCACTTACATGCAACCGTGACTCAAAATACCACACGGCGAGCCTTCTCTCGGTGCTCTTCACTTTCTCCACAGCGCCATGCCCTAGCCTCACGGGAGTACCCGCTTCCACACCGTTCTAACCAACTACACGTCGGCAAATGCAATTGAAAGCAGAAACAAACAAAAACCAAAGCTAACCGTAGCATGAATTAGACATGCATTCAGATATATTGTGTACTGTGTATATAATGGTCCCCTGGAAGGTAAGTTGTCCAGAAAGGGGCCCTTGATGTCATACTGTCCCTAATCTTTGGCAGAACTTGAAATTAATCAAGCCCAGACAGCTTCTGCTTGTCCCACCGCTGGAAACTTTACACCACGTGGCACTTTTTTAACCATGAGATTTACATTCAGAATGTGCCTGTTGGGGCTGTTTCGAAATCACGGTGGGTCTCTCTCCAGAAGTGTCTCAGCTTTCCCAGGGCTGCTGAGAGTCCCAGACAAGACACACAGAAATCCCAGCGCCGGCTCCCACCTGCAGTGGGAGGTTGAGAGTAGCCACACACAAAAAAAAGGGGGAGGGGGGAATGGTTTGTAACCTGAGATTAGAAAGCCCTCTCTGTGCCCGGATCACTCGTGGCTGAAACACACCTAAACCTGTTTGTCCAAAATCAGTTCTCCAAAAACAACCCACAACCTCGGTTTTGGCAAAGTCAAAAATGAAAAGTGAATGGCAATTGTGGCTCAGGCTCCCAGACGACACTCTTGCGACTTCTCAGGCAAGGAGCTAACTGTGGTGCGTGGTGCGCCGTGAAGGAGGAAATCGAGAGGGAAACCCCCTCCCCACCCCCTTCTCCCTGCCCCGCAGCCCTTACCTGTGAGCTGCACACCAAGGAGAAGCAGCCCAGCGCACGAAGTGCTCTTGCCACACATGAGGGAACCCAGCCCTGGCCCCGGAGACCAGACCGGGCAGACCGAGGGCTCCGACACCCTGCCAAGGCTGCTCCAGTAAGAACAGGCACCGCGCTTTCCCAGACAGAAGAGCCAGTCCCTCACCTATGGGAACCTGAGCGCCGGGGCCTGTGACTCATCCCCGCTGCCCTGTGCACTTTGCTGGAATGAAAGGTGGGGCCTCCGCTCCCTACGCCCTCCTCCCTTTCCTCCCTCCCGCCCTCTGCGCTGCAAGCGGTCTGCACACGGTTCCAAACTTGACTTTGCAGTCAATCTGCCCGGGCGCTGGCCTCTGCATGGCCTCAGAAGCAGCTGGAGGGAGTGGTGCCAGCCTGAAACGTCCCAGGCTGCTTTGGGCTTGGCCCATACACATGGGGATTTTTTCTAAGCAGGCTTCCCAGTCGCCTGGGAAGTGAACTGTTGGAAGCACCTTGCAGTGATTGCACTTCCCAAAGCACCTCCCTGGGGCGACATTAGCCTCGACTAGATTTCACTGAACTCCAGTCAGAATTCCTTGAGACCTTCTCCAAACAAAAAGTCCCACAACGAATACATTTTAGCCAAACGTTGCCACAGGATCTCTGCACCTTTTCTTTTTTTTTTAATTTTTTTTTAATGTTTTATTTATTTCTAGGAGAGAGAGAGACAGCGTGAGCAGGGGAGGGTCAGAGAGAGAGGGAGACACAGACTCTGAAACAGGCTCCAGGCTCTGAGCTGGCAGTCAGCACAGAGCCCGACGCTGGGCTCAAACCCACGAACCGTGAGATCATGACCTAAGCGAAAGTCGGACGCTTAACCGACTAAGCCACCCAGGCGCCCCTCTCTGCGCCTTTTCTAGCTTGTAGCTTTCCTGATACCCACCAAAAAGAAACTGACCAGAACAAATGTCAGTGTTGAAGATTTAAAGAAGCAGAACATCATTCCTGCTCATAATACCATCTCCATCCAGTTTTCCAGGGTTTCCCTGCTTCCTTCTTCATCTCCACAATACTCCCATGAAGTGTTCTCATTTTTCCAGAGAGCCCAGGGAAGGTAAGTGATGTGCCCAAATTGGCACAGCCAATAGGTAGCAAAACTGGAACTTTTCTGACTCTTAAGTCTAATGCTCTTTCTGCAAAATTATACCTAAAGTGAACCATCAGACCCAGAGGACTCTCAAAGCAAAGGTTTTCATAGTAACCTGTTTGGCGGGACCTGGGTGGCTCAGTCAGTTAAGCATCTGACTGGATCTCAGCTCAGGTTGTGATCTTGTGGTCGTGAGATCGAGCCCTGCATGGGGCTCAGTGCTGGGCATGGAGCCTGCTTGGGATTCTGTCTCTCCTTGTGCCTCTCTCAAAATAGATAAATAATCTTTGAAAAAAATAACATTTTTGTGTCTCAAATTTCACCTGCCCTTTTTAGGGCAGCCATCTATCTGAAAATTTTTTGAGGAGTTGAGGAAGTTAAATGAGAAAAGTTGCCTCCTTGTCTGGAAAGAGGGTAGATAATTGTTACAGATTAATGAAGCAGCAAGGCAAAACAGCCATAGAAGAGAAAGGAAGATTAAGCATGAAGTTTAAGAAGCAGGCTTGACAGGAATCTAACACTGAACAGACACAAATTGCCGGGATCCCTGGATTAGCAACCTAGAAACTGGAGTGATTCATAGCTTCTAGTTAAACCCTTCAACAGGGAAGTTGCCAGAAAAGAAAGGAAGGGGCAGGCTGACTAGAAAAGAGAAAAAAGAAATCTTCATAAAGAGGGAAGAAAAGAGAAAATTCCACCGAGGGAGAGGCAGATTGCAGAAGTGAAAAAGAGAAGGCAACAAGAAAAGAAACGCAGCAGGAGAAAGACATCACGATCTTGGGGCAAAAAAAAAAAAAAAAGGTAAACAACAAAAAACAGTTGTTGGGGGCGCGTGGGTGGCTCAGTCAGTTAAGCGGCCATCTCTTGATTTCTTGATGATCTCTTGAGATCAAGCCCCACAGTGGGCTCTACACTGAACGTGGAGCCTTCTTTGGATTCTGTCTTCCTCTCTGCCCTTCCCCCATGCCCATGCCCTCTCTCTCTCAATAAATAATAATTTTAAAAAACGTTTTTTATTTGTTTTAACCTTTATTTATTTTTGAGAGACAGAGAGAGAGACAAAGCACAAACAGAGGAGGGGCAGAGAGAGAGTGGGGGAGACACAGAATCTGAAACAGGCTCCAGGCTCCAAGCCGCCAGCACACAGCCCGACGCGGGGCTTGAACCCACGAACCATGAGATTGTGACCTGAGCCGAAGCCGAATGTTCAACCAACTGAGCCATGTAAGCGCCCCTGAATAAACATTTAAAAAAAACAAAAACTGAGAAACCAGGGGCTACCACAGACGAAGTATTGATTAAAGTGTGTCCTAACATGAGTGTTTTATTATGATGAGTGTTCCCGAAAATCGAGTGGCTCCTTTGTCGGCTTCTAGGTCCGAGATGGACCTAAAATCAGAATGCTGGGGGAAGCTTCAAAATGGTGATAAGATAACACAGAGACTCTGTGGCACACAGGTCTGCGGAAGTGAGCTCTAGGAGCCCGAAAGAAAAGGAGTTTACGGAACTCGATCCGCCCGGTTGGCCTTCAGCTTGCAGAAAAATGCAGCTGTAAAGGAAGGGGAGGGAGAGCCTGAGGTTTCAAAGTCTAAAGCAAATTGCAAAGTTTGGGGAGAGGTAGAGTTACCAGAGAGCTCAAGGACACAGAAAAAAGCAGCAGGAGAGGAATCAGGGCAGGCAGCACTGAACAAGCCGCCTGTTGTCAGGAGACGAAGAATCTCTCCCCCAGGTAGCCAGATGCCCTGGGAGCTGGCCGCCCACGTGCTCTGAAAGACAGCCGCTGCCCAGATCCCATTCCTCAGCAGGGTTCAAGTCCCTGGCATCGTGCCCACAACGCCCAATTCCTTCCAGTTAGCAGGAGTGGCTCGGGACTCATCCAGGCCCCCCCCCCCCCCCGAGAGGAGATCAAGGGCTGGACTCCTTCGTAGAGAAAACACTGAATAAAAAGGACATTTGCCTCCAAGGGTCCCCAGGGTGGCCGTCGTCAGGACTTTGACCAAAACCAGAGGCATCTCTCTAGATAAGATAGGCTTAAGGTGCACTGAGTGTCTCAGCAAACAGGAGAAAAGGAAGAAGCCTGTTGGAGATTAAAAGGAAAAAATGAAGTTTTTGGAGATAACCACTTTTTTCCCTAAACTTTTTCCAGAGAAAAATTCTGATCATTATTAAAACTGATGGCATTCCCTAGTTTTCAAAGCACTTCATCTGTCCCCACCCCCTACACGTGTCCCTAAAATATTCCTTTTTTTCAAAAAGTTTATTTATTTTGAGAGAGAATGAGAGTGGGGAAGGGGCAGAGAGAGGGAGAGATTGGGGACCTCAAGCAGGCTCCACACTGTCAGCGCAGAGCCCGAAGTGGGGTTCACACTCACGAACCGGGAGATCATGACCTGAGCCAAAGTACCAACTGAGCCACCCAGACACCCCTCAAAAATATTTTTTAATTTTTTTAAGTTTATTTATTTATTTGGAGAGAGACAAAGACAGCACAAGTGGAAGATGGTAGAGACAGAAGCAGAGGGAGAGAGAGGCAGAGGGAGAGGGAGAGAGAGAATCCCAAGTGCGCTCCACGCTGTCAGCACAGAGCCAGATGCAGGGCTTGAACCCACAAACTGTGAGATCATGACCTGAGGCAAAACCAAGGCATTAATGATTAAACAAACTGACCCACCCAGGCACTCCTTTAATGGATACCTAGAAACCCACTGGCCAGTTGGAAATTCACGGTGGGGGTGGGGGGGGTCAAAAGGTCAAAAGATATAAAGGACAACTGGCCGGTATCAAAATTTGTAAAAATTGTCATCTTAACATCTAAGGCAAAATGTTTTTTTCACCACAAGATGAAATCACCATTCTACAAAGCAAGGGAAACAAATTAGTTCACTCTTGGGCTGGTTCAAATAAAGTGTTTACTCAAAAGTTTCTGCCCGGCTCAGGTCATGTTTTCTTATTAGGAAAGATTTTATTTAATTTTTGTTATATGCTAGGCAAGACATATAAAGTAGAATAAGACATTTCTGCCCGGGGGAAAAGAATCAGAGTCCAAAGAAGATTGAGAGGTGGAGTCTTATCTGAAATAATTACCATTGTTGTGGCTTTTTTTTTTTTTATTTCTAGGAGAGAGAGAGAGACAGCGTGAGCAGGGGAGGGTCAGAGAGAGAGGGAGTCACAGACTCTGAAACAGGCTCCAGGCTCTGAGCTGGCAGTCAGCACAGAGCCCGATTCGGGGCTCTAACCCACGAACCGCGAGATCATGACCTAAGCGAAAGTCGGACGCTTAACCGACTAAGCTACCCAGGCGCCCCACCATTGTTGTGGCTTTTAAAATGGGTCCTTAAAAGACAAATAGGAATCCTGGAGAGAAAGGAAAAACAAAGCCACTCCTTTTGAAACAAACAGGATGGGGGTGGGTGGGAAATGCGGTCCTCACAGGGACCTATGAATGATTTCTCAACCCAGTGCATGGGGAGGAGTGTCTAGACAGGAGGCTGGACAGAGAGGCTGGGCCCAGATGTTGAGGGTCCTCATTCTCCATCTTAACAGAATATGGACTTGATCCTGACGGATACACCATTTGGAAGCAGCTGATACGTGATCCGGAAAGAGTGGAATGATTTTGGTATTTACCAGCCCCCCAAAAAATAATGAGGGAGGGGCACCGGGGTAGTTCAGTTAGTTAAGTGTCTGACTTGATTTTGGCTCAGGTCATGATCTCACAGGTCATGGGATCGAGACCCATGTTGGGCTCTGCGCTGACAGTATGGGATTTTCTCTCTCGCCCTCTCCACCACCCCCCCCGCATGCTCGCCCCCCCAATAAACATTAAAAAATAATAATGAGGAGGAGGGAATGCCTTGGAATCTCAACCACCACATACTCAAATAGCTCTCTCAGAGGCCCCTGGGCCAGAATTTGAAAAGTACAAACTTCATACCCATTTTCAGAAGACTCAGGGACACTCAGTCATCCCTGCCAACCACAGTGCCAATCTATAGCTTCTTTCTTTCTTTCTTTCTTTCTTTCTTTCTTTCTTTCTTTCTTTCTTTCTTTCTTTCTTTTTTTGAACTTCTGGTGAGCTTTTCACA